TGAGTCCATCAAGTGGTGCCAGAAAGGAATAAAAGAAGCCTCAACATAGAAGGGAAACTACAGAGAACAAAGGGAGGGGAAAAGAAAGAAAAAGGCAGTTTGGAAGAAGAAAGGCTAAAGAAGGGGGAAATGGCAGCTTTTTAAAAAGGGATGTTATTTAGAAAAAAACGAGGGAAAGGGATGTAAAAGGCTGCTTGTGTGGGTTCTTCCTTCAGCTTAGGTCAGAGTGCAGTCATTGAAGTCCTTGATGTGCAGTAGGGTCACACTGGGTATTCCCAGGTCATGAAAGCCACTGGGGAATTTCTTGTGGTGCAGGGCTGCCTAGGTTCTTGCTCGTTCTTGGGGCTACTCAAGGCCTTGCTGGGGTATGGAGCCAACCAGGGCCTTGCTGTGATGTGTGCGGCATGGGGACTCCCTGGGGAACAGAGTATATAGCTTGCCATCTGGGGCTCAGAGTGCATAATGAGTGGTCAGTTTTGGGGTCTCACTAGTGGGCCTGACCCTTCCTCTGAGATGTCGTGTGTGTTTTTTAAATCATTTTATTGGGGGCTCATACAACTCTTTTCACAATCATTTTGATTTACTGTACTTGGCTTTGAAGCAATTCTCTGAGATAATAAGCCACCTGGTAGTTCTTTCATGCTGATCTTCTCCTTTGTTGTTTGTTTTGCTTTTAACAGGAATCTATGTGTATTCAGTAGGTCATCTTGCCCTAGCAGTCTTTTAAAAAAAATTTTTTTTTTAATATGGCTTTGGATTCTCTTCAATAAGATTTTGTTGAGAATTTGGGGGGGATATTGATCTGTAAATTTCTTTTTTTTAGCAGTTTCTTTGGATTTGATATCAGGGTCATCTTTATTTCACAGAATAAAGTAAGAAGAATTCTATTAATTTCTACGTTCCAGAATTTGTCAGCTCTTTCTGAATATTTCGAAGAATTTACTAGTGAAGTCTGGGCCAAGACTGTTGTTGAGAGTCCTTTTTAATGACCTTCTCAATTTCTTCTGTTATGAGTCTATTAAAATTTTCTACCCCAGTCTGTGTTAACGCAGTCAGTGTTTAGGAATTTGTGCATTCCTTTAGATCATTCTTTTTATTACCGTTGGTACTGTTGTGAAATCCCTCTACTCAGTTCTTATTTGTATTATTGCAAATAGCTCCCTCCTTTTCTTTGTCTTTTGGCCAGTGGTTTGTTGATTCTATTAATCTTTTCAAAGAACCAGCTTCCAGTCTTGTTCATTCTTTATGTTGTTTTTCTGTTTCATTTATTTCTGCTCTAAGCTATATTATTTCGTTTGTAGGGACTGTTGGTTTATTTTTCTAACTGCTGGAGTGTTGGGTTAAGGTGTTGATTTTAGCTCTTTCTTCCTTTTTGGTGTGTGAACTTATAGCTATAAATTGCCCCCTGAGCCATGTTTTTCCTGTGCTTTAATAGTTTGATGTGCCATGTTTTCCTTCTATGAAATGTAACACTTTTGTTTTTCATTTCTTCTTTTACCTAGTGGTTTTTAAGCAGGATGTTATTAAGTTTCTATGTATTTGATGCCACCCTCCATATTCTTTCTGTTCCTAATTTTAAGTTTTATAGCAGTGTGATCTAAGAAAATACTTTGTAGTATTTTCATGTTCAATGTATTGAAGCTTGCTTTCTGGGCTAATACATGATCTATTGTGGAGAATAATCCATGTGTGTTGGAAACTAATGAGTTCTGTGCATTGTTTGGGAGAACGTTCTACATATTTGTCAGATTAAGTTGGTTGATTATAATGTTTCAATCTTCTATATATTTGTTCAGGTTTATTTCCTACTTGTTCTGTCCTTTCTCAAAAAGTGATGTGCTATTACTGTTATTACGGAGCTTTCAATTCTGTTCATGCTCATTTTATATATTTTGGATCTCATTCACTGGGAACAGAGACATTTAATGTCTTCCTGTTGCACTGATATTTTCATTGTTATATCATTTCCTTGTTTCCTATCCAGTGTTTGGTTGAAACTTTGTTTCTTTCAGTTTCATAGATGCTATCCGATTGCCTTTTTGCCAGTATTTTGTTCTACTGAGAAATCTGAGTTTAGTTTTATTGATTCTCCTCTGTAGACAGAATTTTGTTTTTCTTGCTCATTATTTTGTCTTTTGTTTTTTAACAGTTAGATTATAATACAACTTGGGAATCAATGCTATTTGGGGTTCATTGAGCTTACAGGATGGTTATCTTTTCATTTTTATTTTGTTTTTTAACATACATACATTTTTTATTGTGAGTGAAGGTTTAAAGCAAATCCGTTTTCCATTCAACAATTCATACACATTTTGGTTCCTGTCATTGATTGCAATCACCACAATGTAACATCCTGCATCTCGTTCCATTTCCTCCTATGCTTCCATCTTTCTTAGGAGTCAGAACTGATTCAATGGCAGGGTGTGGGCTTTTTGGTTTTCTTTCTTAACTTTTCCTGCCTTCTGAACTTTGTCCTTGGGGAAATGCTGCCCTTTTGATCTCAAATTGTTAATTGTTCTAAGGAATGTATATTGCCCTGGTGCTTTTAGTCCCCTTATGCACCTATTATTTAGCTGAAAACCAGTCACAGGCATGAGTTCAGTTCTAGACTGAAGAATAACTAACAGCATAGCCATGAGGACTGCACCAGTATCTATCTGACCAGTGAATACTGGATTTATGGAACTTTCTTCTGTTTCATATTTTTCTCACACTGTATTCTTAGTTTTTCTTCATTCGTTTTTTAGATTGTTCCTCTAATAGATTTCTATCAAGGGATTGGTTCTATCTTTTGCTGACTCTGACTTTCATCGATCCAATTCTATTCCTTTGTCCTTCCAATATGTTAACTAATTCTGAAGGTTTAGTATTATACTTCTATTACTTCTAATTGCTGTTTCTTGTGGTTTCAATTTCTCAGTTATCTTGTCATTTTGCTCTTGTATTGTTTTTCTGAATTCTTCAATCTTTATCTTTTGGAGGGCCATGTGAGGTAAAGGTGAATGGAAAGTAGGGAAGGGAACAGTGGATGGGGTCACACTGCACAAGGGCAGTGTCTGAACTGGGGTCAGGCTTGACTGAGTTTGAGGGAGGGAAAGAGAAATGAGTCCTAGCATCTCACCAGAGCAACTTGCCTTGGCTGAACTGGATTTGTGGATGGGAGAAGTGGGAAGTGTAGAGTAGTTGGTGATACATGTAAGCAACCTGCTGCCACTCAACTGCTACCTAATTGGAAAGTTCCAGCATACAATTTGCAGAAACTTGGACATTTAAGCTAAATGTCTAGATTCTTTTCCAACTAACTCTCTCTCTATGAAGCAAATCCAGCTAACAGCTTCACTTGCAGGCTGAGAAAGCCCAGCCTATAATACAAATCATCAAAAAAAAATCCAGCTCTGAATTCACCAGCAGACCTTTGTCAGGTTGTGACACAAGCATCTATTTTATGAGACACCAGCAAGTCCATGTTCAGGTAAGTGAGATTTATAAATGAAGAGATACCAGTCAGAATCTTAGGACATGTGCTCCAGTAAAAAAGGGAAAATAGCAACCTAAATGAATTCCTGAACAAACTGATCCTGGTCAGTCCCGGCTGTGATAGCGCGGTCAGAGCTGACCTTCTAGCCAGGGAAAAGCAAAGCAATGCAAAGCACAAACCAGAAGGCTCATGTACAAAGTATTTCTAAAGATGTTAACAGGTGAAAGAATGAGAAGATGCTAGTGAGCTTTAGAATAAAACCATGCCAGGGACGCTATATGGCGTCATTATTAAAATGTCTAAAAATGAACTTGATGAGCATATTTCAACTTTTCAGGTGGACATGAAACCATGTACCTCTTTTAATAATAGGAACACACATACGGGGGGGGGAAGAGGGGAGCCATGAATTCCACATATACACTAAAATTAATTTAAGTGAATGGAGATGTTAGGTGGTGCAAAAACACACTCAGCTGCTAAGTGGAAGTTGGAGCTTTGAATCTGCTCAGAGGTGATGATGAAGAAATGGCTGGCAATCTACTTCTGAAAAATCAGCCATTGAAAACCTTACGGAGTACAGTTCTAATCCAACCTTCATGGGGGTCACATGAGTTGGAGTCAACTCCATAGTATCAGAGTTGTTTTTTTTAAACCGACAGAAACTACTGCTCAACTGTTGCTTCACTAGGAAGGTCATTTTTAAGGAAAGAGTGCTAAGAACACTTGGATTCCTCACATTTCAGTATAAAGCCTGCATGCTCTTTTATTCATTCTAGTTACATACCCAAATATCATTCGATCTCAAGCCATGTATACACAGAATGAGCATGAACAAGGGTAGGTATGAACTCCATTCATACATAGAAATGTGATTATTTCTAGACTTCTCAAGCCATGTTGTTGTTATGAGCTAGGGCGTTATCATAGGGACCCTCTAGTAACCTGGTAGGACAGAATAGAGGTGTTCCATAGAGTTTCCAAAGATGTCATCTTTACAGAAGCGTATTACCACCTCCTTCTTCCATGGAGCGGATGGTGGGTTTGAACCACTGCCAGCTGACTGCTGAGTCACTGAACTCCCAGGGCTCTTTCTAACCCACAAAGGTTTTCCATTGCTACAAAGATGAAAAAAGGCAGGATTGCCAAAAGATTGTGAATTCCTTGGGGTTTTCTAGTTATCTAATGAGTGATGATAGAACTGAAGCTAAGGCAACGCCCTTGGCCTTATTAATCTTTTGTTAAAGGGAAAGAAGTATATCCCCAAAGGACTAGATGTAAACCAATTCCAATTGACACAACAACAATAACAACAAACCGAAAAAGTTACTCTGGAGTTGACTTCAACTCATGGAAATCTCATGAGTAGAACTGTGCTCCATAGGGATTTCAAGGGCTTAATTTTCAGAAGTGGATCACGCCTTTCTGCCAAGGTGCCTCAGGCAAACTACCAACTTCTTGGTTAGCAGCTGAGGATTTTAATTGTACTACTCAGAGAGTCTAATTTGCCAACCCAACTCACTATTTTTCTCTCATAAAAGGCGCCGCTGCTGTAGGTGGTGGCCAGCGTGGAAGCACACTCCTCCAGGTACCAGGGCTTGTAGCCATTCTCGGTAGTGCTGCTCACAGAGATGGTGTAGATGCTGTTGGTGTAGCCATCACAGGAGCAGTAGTCACCCTCTCTCCCACCGTTTCCAGATGCCCAGACGAAAATAGAGCCCAGGCCCTGCCGGCCCTAGAGCAGGAGGAGAAACACAATGTCAACCAGCAGATAAGACCCCAGGTGGATTGTCCAGTTGGGGTGAACAGCAGGCTGAAGTCACCATGTGAAAGTTCCTGCACCAGGGGACGGAGGGAGCTTCAATATCATTTCAAGCTGCTTAGATCTGCTTTTGAAGAGACTGTTGATGCTAATGAAGTGCTTTACCCAAAGCAGCAGCTATACACTATGGAATCGTAGGACCATAGTGTAGAAAAGTTCCCCCAACCCCTCTACTCTTCACAGGAACAGTGAAAGAACTAATATAAGCAGTACTGGTTCAAAGCAATGCCTATAATTTCCACGACCTACAATAAAAAAGAAAAAGCAGTAAAAGTAAGTCTGAAATGATATACAATGGCTGAATTTTCATTTCAACATTTCTGAATGGAAAAAACTGGTCTTATTAGTCAAGAACAAATTTTATGGAAAATGTGGTTGAAGATGTGTCCTTAAAAAATCAAATTAATTTTGCAAATAGGTTGGAAGAGTAAATTCTGGGGGAGAGGTCTGAAGTAAGGGGTGTGGTGCAGACTGTCCATGGCTGTCCAATTAGAACTCCTGAAATCTTCTCCACAAAGGAGTGTTGGAGAGATCAGGTCACCAAGGCTGGTGATTCCACCTGTAAGAAGGGTTTGGTTCGCAAGAATGGACACAGGATGGTAATCTTCTAAAGCAGTGGTGGGCTAGGGCAGGTCCCCATGACTCTATTCTACTCCACATTGGTAGAACCAATGATTTCCGACAGAGCCAAGGCATTTTAATTTGTATTTCTCTTAAAGTAAGTGATTGTGAGAATTTCTTCATATAGTTGTTGGCTGTAGCTATCATCCTTGGTGAATTGCTTGTCCATGTCTTATGCCCATTTTTAATTAGATTCATGTTTTTCTTAATGAAATATTTCAGTTTAATATAGATTTTAGAAATTAGCTCTTTATACAAAATATTGCCAGTTTACCACCTCTGGGGTCTCATTTTATTATTTTCATGAAGTCTTTTGATGTACATAAATGTACCTTAACACCCCCCCCCTCCCCTATAAATGTACCTTTTAGGAGGTCCTGGTTGGCATAGTCGTTACAAGTTTGGCTGCAATCTGCAAGGTCAGTAGTTTGAAACCAAAGCCACTCCAAGAGAGGATGGGATTTCTAGTCCCATAAACAATCTTGGCAACTCCCAGGGGCAGTGCTGCCCTGTCCTGTAAGGGTTGCTGTGAGTCACTATTGAATATATGTCTGTGAGTTTTTTGAGTTCTCTATTTTGTCTTTTGTGCTATGGATGTCTTTCATTATATTTGCTGGAGTGTTTATGGCTTGTATTAGGGTATGTAAGTTTTTCCCTTGATGATTTTTGTAGTTCTGGGGTTTAAGTTTTTAATCTACCTTGAGTTCATTTTTGTACAGGGTGTGATGTATGGGTCCTGTTTCACTCTTTTGAAGATAGAGAACCAATTTTGTCTGCATCATTTATTGAAAAGTTATATGTTTTTCCCATTTAATGTGTTTCAGCCCGTTATAAAATATCAGGTGCCTGATTTTATTTCTGGGTTCTCTATTCTGATCCACTGCTCTACATATCTATCATATTGTACAAAGCTGTTTTGACTACTGAGGCTATATAATAAACTGAAATCAGGGTGTAAGAGGCCTCCTCTTTTGTTTAAAAAATTTTTATAGGGTTTTGCTTGTTTAGGTTTCTTTCATTTCCATATAAAGTTGGCAATTAGTTTTTCAATTTCTTTGAAGAATAGTGCTAGGATTTGGGTCAGAATTGCATTATATTCATAGATTGCTTTAGTTAATATTGACATTTCCACAATACTGTCTTCCTATTAATGAAGATGGAACAGTCTTCTATTATGTAGGTCTCCTTTGGTTTCTTATAGCAGTGTCTTGTAGTTTTCTTTGCACAAACATTTTGTTCTGGTTAAGCTTATTCCTAAGGATTTCATCTTTTCGATTGTTATTGTAAATGGTATTTTTTAAATTTCAGAATTCTCTTTCTCAATATTCAGGAATCTTACTGATTTTGGTATGTTAACTCTGCAGCCTGCCATATTGCCAGATTCCTCAATTCCACCAATTTTCTTGAGCGTTCGGGGGTTTCAATATATAAAACAAAATCATCTGTAAGTACAGAGAATTTTACCCTTTTGGGGCCATTTGGTTATGTTTGGTTGCTTTTTTTATGTCTAATTGCTCTAAGTATGACTTCCAGGACTAAATATGAGTGGTGATCAAGGGCATCTCTGTTGGGTTCCCATTTAAGGAGGGGAATGATTTTAGTTTATCTCCATTGAGTGAAATGCTGGCTACTGGTTTTACATATATGGCCTTTGTTATGTTGAAGAATTTCTTTTATATTCCTACTTTTTTTAATAAAATAATGGATATTTGATTTTGTCAATTGCCTTTTCTGCATCAGTTGATATGGTCATTTGGTCGTTTTAGTCTGTTTCATTTATATGGTGGATTTGGTTAGATTCTAAGTTAACCTGATATTTGTGTGGAGGTAGGGGTTATAGATTAACTAACCTGCTAATCAAGTGGTAGCTTGGTGACGAATCCTTGAAAGTGTGGCCTTTTTATAAAAGAGAGAATTTCTCTCTCTTCACCTTTACTTTCCTCCTTGCTTAGATTCTGTGGCCCCTTAAGCCATCTTCAAAGGTGGTCCAAATAGGGCTACCCATTCTGGTAGCTGTCAGTGCCCTGCCAAGCTCCTACTGACTTCGGATCCACGAGTCAGCACCCATTGGCCTGTGACCTCCTTGATTCATTATTCACCTTTTTGCATCATTAGCCTGCGCCTGCACCTGCATGAATCTGAAAGGGCTCCAGCAGCCATAGGACCCATGGAGTTGAGCTGGACTAGGTTGCGATGCCTTTTGAGTGGGGGAAGGTGGAGGAGGGTAATTTAAGAATTGTCCTGGTGGTCCAATGGGTTGATCCTTAAGCTGCTAATCACAACACCAGTTACTGAAACCCACCAGCCACTCTGCAGGACAAAGGTGAGGTTGTCTGCTCCTGTAAAGATTTATGGCCTTAGAAACCCTATAAAAGGTCACCACGATTCAGAACTGGCTTGATGGAAGTAGGGCTTTTGGTTTGGTCACCACAAAAAACAGGAGCTGCAAAAAGATATGCCCTCCCTCTTTGTGAAGCTTTCTTCCCACACCCGAGCCTGTTTTAATTGAATTCCACGGTCCTTTTGCCACATCCTGTCCACTCCTCATGAATGGCCACTCAGCTCTGGCCAATGGGTGGGAGTAAATGTCCAATTGTGGTTAAGCCATGAGGTCAGAACCATCTTCCCGCCTTCATCGATTCTGGGAGACAATAGGAAGCAGCCCAACAAGAGGGAAGTAAGCAGTGGAAACCCAGACTCCTTATCATTGGGACATCTTCTTGACATAAAACCACTTCTTCATATAAGTTCTTTCTTATACATACAGGCGGGTCGCTGTTTTTATTTCCCTAGACAACTCAGCCAAACACAATGGATTACATTGATTTTTTTCTAATAATGAACCATCCTTCCATACTGGTATGACTCCCACTGGATCGTGACGTATTACTTTTAATGCTTTGTTTGGTTAGGATTTTGTGGAAAATTTTTGCATCTATGTTCATAAGGGATATTAGTCTACAGCAGTGGTTCTCAAGCTTCCTAATGCCATGATCCTTTAATACAGTTCATGTTGTAGTGACCCCCCAACCATAAGATTATTTTCGCTGCTACTTCATAACTGTAATTTGGTTACCATTATGAATCCGGCGACCAAAGGGGTCACGACCCACAGATTGAGAACCACTGGACTACAGCTTTCTATTTGGGTAATGTCTTTTCCTAGTTTGGGTATCAGTTATACTTGCTTCATAAAATGAGTTTGGCAATAAAATGCCCATTTTTATGTTGTCCTAGCTTTTATAGAATTGGTGCTCTCTCTTAACACTTAGAATTCTCCAGTAAAACGATCTCATCCTGGGCATTTTGCTGTTGGGAATATTTTAATGACCTGATTTATTTCTTCTTGTGTTATAGGTCTGTTAAGGTTTTGTATATGTCTTGTTAATTTAGATAGAAAATGTACATCTAGAAATTTGCCCATTTCTCCCAAATTTTCAAATTGTTGGAATACAAGTGTTCATAATACTGTGTATTTATTTTATTTCAGTTGGTTTAGTTGTGATGTGGCTCATTTCAGTTTTTAATTGTGATACTTGCTTCTTCTCTTTCTTTTACTTTGTTATATTTTCCAGTAATTTTTCATTTATGTTAATTCTTTCAAAGTAACTTGTCTTATTATTTCTATTAGAATCTTTATTATTTCTTTTCTTTTGATGGCTAAATATTTGCTTTTCTGCTCTTGTAACTGTTACAGGTGTTGGTTTTAGTTCTTTATTTGATGCGCATACTTATAGCTATAAATTGCCCTGTGATTACTGCCTTCGTGTGTCCTATAGGTTTTGGTAGGTTGTGCTTTTGTTCTCATTTGTTTGAAGGAATTTAAAAATTGCACTCTTGATTTGTTCTACAACTAAATGTTTTTTAAAGTAAATTGTCGTTCAATATACATTTAACTGATTCTTTTGCTTGATCTTCCTATTACTGATTTGTAATTTTATAGTGTCATCTGAAAAGATGGCTTGCAGTATCTTGATGTTTTAAAAAGTATGGATCCTTGCTTTGTGATCTAACATGATGTAGTCTGGTATACGTTCCATGTGATCTCGAAATGAATGTATACTCTTACATAGTTTGGGAAAATGTTTTAAGAAATTAAGTTGATTGCGTTGTCCTGGTCTATCTCTTTGTTGATTTTCTTTCCAGTGGATCTGACCTTCCTTGAGCATGGTGTGTTGAAGTCTTCTATTTTGGCAGTATTGCTTATTTCTCTTTTCAACTGTATAAAACGTTTGATTAGTGTATTTTGAGAGTATTTCATTGGGTGCATAGATGTTTATTATGGTTATGCCTTTTGTTCAATTGTGGCTTTATTGCTCATGATGGTTTTTACTTTGTCATCAGAAATTAATATTGCTACTCCTGCTTTTTTATACTGCTAGCTAGATGTATTTTTCCATTATTTTTAGTCTGTTTTTGTCTTTGTGACTTAGGTGCATTTTTCATAAATAGAATATAAATGGATCCTGTTTTTTAAAACCTGTTCTGCTCATCTCCCTCTTCCCTAGTGAATATACTCCATTTATTTGATGTTGTTATTGGTAGGTATGATTATACCTATGTCATTTTGCTGTGGGTTATTTTTGGTGTGTGGGGGGGTCCTATTGATTTCTTTGTTCATTATTTTCTGTTGAGATCAGTTTGTGGATTTTCTTGTAGCTTTTTCTAGTTTCTATTTTACTGTTTGGTAGGTATGTAAAGTTTTCTTCTTTTCAATTTTGTCCAGGTCTTAAATTTCCTTTGAGGCATGTTTTGTTTCTCTAAATTTAAGGCAGTTTATTCATTCTTGTGAACTACTCAATTTCCTGTCCATTCAACTATTTAATATCTACTATATTAGTTTATTGTTGTCTTAATTATTAAATGTTACCTGTGGTTCCCAATTTTCAGTCTGTGGGTTTGTGTATTACCTGAGTTGGTTATTCCGTGATCATGGTGTCTTGTATGTTGTTCTTAGGATGTTGCCTTTTGCTATTGTTGATTCTCTGTCCAAAACACTTCCTTTCATATTTTTTGTAAAGTTTTACAAATTCCCTTCGTTCTTTCTTGTTTAAAAATGCCCTCATTTCTCCCTCATGTTAAAGGGATAATTTTGCTGGATAAAGGATTTTTGGTAGGCTTTTTTTCTTCTTCAAGGTTTCATTTTTTTCCCCATTGCATTCTTGCTTGTATGATTTTTACTGAAAAATCCTAGCTTACTCTGTTGGTGCACCTTTAGGTAACTTTTCTTTTTTTTTCTGAGTTGTCCTCTTCTTTCCTTTTCTTCGATGTTGGAAAATTTAACTATGATGTATCATGGTTCTTTTCTTTTGGAGCCAACTCTACCGGGGATTCTTTCAGCTACTTATATGGTCATTTTTTGTTCTGTCATGATGTTAAGGAAATTTTCTTCCAGCATTTCTTTGACTATTTTCTCTTTTTTCCCTTATGTTATGGAATGTTTATCAAACATAAGTTGTTCCTTTTGATAGTGTTCCATGGAATTCTTAGACTTAAATTTCTTTTCTTTTTAGAGATTCTTCTTCTCAGAGTTTGGTATTGAGAGACTTGTTTTCCTTACTTTAGTTTTGAGAGACTTGTTTATGAGCTCTTTGATTCAGGTTTCTATAATTTCAGTTCTGTTATTTTGCTCTTTCAGAGCATTAACTAGTTCTAATATCTGAGTGTTTTTCTTTTGGATTTCTATTTAGAGCTGTTGAATTCTTCCTAATTTTTCAGTTGTTTTGTCAGATTGTTCTTCTATCTTCTCTTCTGTAGCTCTCTAGACTTTTCCCTCCAACTCATTGAACATCATTCTTAAAGCAGCTAAATATTCTTCTGAACTCTCTTATGGTACCTTTTCTTTGTCTGGAAATTATCTCATGTCTGTGCTAATTTGTGCTATTTTTTCTTGTTTTCTCATGTGCACTGAGATTTCTTGTTGTTTCTAAGAGACTGCCTATTTTCTCTTTGTTGGTAAGGTGGCACTGGAGTAGATAATGTTCCCTGTGCACTAGTTGCAGATGTTCAAAGTTCAGGAGTGATTGAGAAGTGTAGGACTAGGCAATTTCTAGAAGAGATTAATGACAAACTAAAGTTGGCTGCTATTTTTGTCAGAGTCCCAATCTCTAGTTTGGTTTCTGTGGCTGGCAATGATCAAAAGAGCTGACTTTCAAGGATAACTGGTCACAAAAGGAGGGAACAGATAGTAAGAAGTTTTGCCCACTCTCCTGTCATAAACCAGTCTCTGTCCAAGTGGAGTGGTGGGAACTTGTATCTTCACTTCACATAAATGGCAGAGCAAAGCTTTGAGTCAATTTAAAGTGTCCTTCACTGACAAGGAATTGATATGTGGGAACGCATGTTTTTAAGCCCTGGAGCTGAAAGGTGTGATGAACTTCAGCTTCTTGTTTGTTAATTCCCTTTGTGTGTGCAAAAAGGTTCGCTCTCTTTCAGAGGGGTCTTGTCCTCCCAGATAAGTAGAAGTGCCACTTTCCTTTGCGGGATTATATTAAGTCTTGGGGCCTGGTACATAAACATGTGGGAGGGAGTGATTAGTTCATCCCCTGCTCTCTCCCATGCTCTAGATTATTGGAAGAAGGGTTACTTGGTGGCATTTTACTGAACCCGCTGAGAATTTGCTGCCTTTCTGATTATGTGTGGTTCCACCACACAAGCTTCATGTCAGTCTATTTCTGGTTCAGGTGTCTCTACTACGTGGGAGGTTCAAAACTTATGTTTTTGTTTCTTCTCCACTTTTGGGGGTGATTTTAGCGTGGAGAAGTGGTTGAAGAACATCTGGCTACACGGTCATATTTTACTTAAAGAAAGTATTCACTGGCCAATTTTGGAAGTAGATATGCAGAAGGCCTTAGTCTGGAAGCTCTGCTGAAACCTGTCTACCCCTGGTGACCCAGCTAGGGTTTGAAATGCTAGGGACATAGCGTCTGTCATCACAGGAACATAAAACCTACAGCAAAAGCGGAATTACCTGCTTTCATAGAGGTGCTGGGTTAACGCAATGCTTATAATGGAACTGAAAGCTTCCATGTTGGGTCTGTGCATAGGTGGGCCAAGGCGCAAGACACCTTTTTCATCAACATTGGACAAATAACAAATCAGGGAAGCTGACTAAGACCCCCACCACACACCTGATTGCACTCCTCATCCAGGGCAGGTCAACTCAAAAGCAGAATACTGAGGCTGGCTTGAAAAAGGTGCTACTCAATGGCTAGCAATACTGAAATGAGGGGAAACACTTTTGCTCTGAGCCCCGACATTCTGGTTCTGCAAACCTTTTTAATACCATACTCAAAGGCCTGCTTGGCCAGTCGGCCAGGCCCATCCACTGTCTTCCCATCATCATCTGGCCCCCAGCTTGCACTATAGATATCGATATAGTTGGGTCGAATGCCAAGTGATTTTGCTTCCACAACATCAGTCACATCACCATCCAACATCCGGATGCCTGGAAAAAGAGGAGATGTAGCATGAATCAGAGCTGCACAGTGACTGCTACCTGGCCTGAGTACACATACTGCTTGGAGAACATGTCTGTTAACTGCAATCAATGATACTGTGTGCCTACTAATGGTTCTCAGGAGGTTTTTCAGTTATTTTGGAAATCTTTCATTCTGTGCCAATTGGTGGGAATGAATCAAAATGATGCCTTAGGCCACTATATAAAGTATTCTTAATGCATGAAAGCCACCAGGAGTATGTCTTCAAAATATTGGGTTTGAACAGTTTCCCTTGATGCTGTTAGTATTTTAAAAATTGACATTACTATAATAGAGCTCCAGATTCTTTTTCAGTTTATCAGCTGTTCAAACCATATGCTTACCAAATAATCTAAGAAGCTGAATTATAGGAACCAGAATGTGGTTTCAGGATTGGAGGAAGGCTCATTAACAACCTGCAATATGCAGATAACACAGACTTGTTTTCAGGAAATTAAGAGGATTTGAAGTACATATTGATTAAAATTAAAAAACTACAGTGTTCAGTATAGATTTCAACTCAACAAAGAAAGCAAGTATCCTCACAACTGGGCAGATAAGCAACATCATGACAAATGGTGAAAAGATTAGTCTTTTATTTTACTTGGATCCACAATCCAAGGAAATAGTAATCAAGAAATCAAATGTCTCTTTGTATGAACAAATTTGCTTCAAATGACCTCTTTAACATATTAATGAGTGAACATGTCACTTTGAGAATTAAGGTGTGCCTGACCTTGTGAAGCTGGACAATGAAAAGAGCAGACATAAAGAGAATGTGTGCATTTGGATTAGAGAGCTGGTGAAGAATACGGAATATCCCATCGAGAAGCAGAAGAACAAACACTCTGGCTTGGAGGAAGTACAGCCAGAATGCTTCATAGAAAGATGGAAAGACTTCATCTCATGGGTTTTGGACATGTCACTAGGAAAGGACTTAATACTTGGTGAAGTAGAAGGTCAGTGAAAATAGGAAGACTCTCAGATTGAGAGAGTGGCTGCAAAAATGGGCTTCAACATAATGACAATTGTGAGGATGGCATACATGTTAGGCTGGGTTCGCTAAAGCCTAACACATGTGTATGTATATGTTTATAGAAGGAGATTTATATCAAGAAATGCCTCACACAGTTGTAGAAATGGGTAAGTCCAGTCCATGGGCCAGATGTAAGCTCAAGGCTTTTCCTGGCGCATTTAGCTGCAGGAACTGAGGAACAGGAAGAAGGAATATGAAGCAGAAATACCACAGGCTGGTGGATAATGAGCTGATGAATCCAAGTTTGGCATCCATTGATGGCTCATGAGACCAACAGATTTGTTAATGAACCAGATGTAGGATTCAAATCCTGTAGAAGTGAGAGCTAGTTTCTGCACACTGTCAGTATATGCTACAAGTGTAGAATGAGTGAAAACTCTGTCAATTGTATCAGACTGTGACTAGATTAATTGCCTGCATGATTCACAGAAAATTCCTTCATGGCTAGTTGAAAACATTAGGTCATATGGGAGAATCCTGGCCCATCCAAGTTGACATAAAACCAAACTATTACAGTTTACCCATCTCCTTAAACCACACAGTTACTAAACAAAGACAATAAACACAACTAATATATGTACAACTGAAAATGCACTAACCCCATTTAAATTTTATATTTTTTAAGTGAACAAATCATTTGATGCATGCATACAAACAGGAAGTATTCATAACAATTATAGTCCTCATTTCTACAGCTGGTTGCAATAATGGGCTTAAACATAATGACAATTGTGAGGATTTAGAACTGGTATTTAGAACTACCTCCTTCCACTACCCATTATGTATTTCCTTGGCCTTCATCAAATACTTCAGTTGGCCATAACCCTTTGTCTGTTGGGGTGAACCAAACCATCCCTGAAGAGTCTGAAGAGTCAATAGTAGTCATGTCAAATTGGGATGTATTAGCTTACAATTGACTTTTATCACAGGACATGGTAATACTAAGAGATGACCTAAAAGAATTTCCTGGATTCCAGACACACTAGTCTTTACCTCCATTATGAAATACTAATTCCATTTCCTCTTGGTAAAAGATCAATCACACCAGTCAATATACTACCATCCTTAAATGCCTGTTGATCTAGAGGCATGAGGTGTCCAGGAGGACTTCTTAACTTCCAGTTCAAAGGAAATCAGAGCTGTGCCTCTAGGTGAGAGTATTCTTCCCTTTGGAACTAAGATCCCCAGACCCAAAGAGCATGGGGTTGCAGGAAAAAGAAACAAAAATGTTGTGAGTAAATCATTAGACGTAATAGTGAGTGGTACCAATCGCATTTCCACCTTTTTATTTCTGAACCCACGAATCCTGGCTATTAGAGAACTAGATGCTAGTTTAGAAATGTACACTAGTTTAAATCATATACAGCTTTCTAGAGGTGTAACTCAGTACCAAAACCTGCAAAGTGTTACCACCAAGCTGTAATTGTGTTACCACATTGTAATTGTGCCTTTAAAAGTCCATCCCATTATTTTATCAGGCCAGCTACTTTGGGATGATGGAGAATATAGTTAGACCAGTGGATTCCATGAGCACGAGCCCACAACACTTTATTGGCTATGAAGTGAATTCTTTATCTGGGTTGATGCTGTGCAGACCACTTTGCTGGTGGACAAGGCATTCTGTAATTCTATGAATGGTGGTTTTGGCAAAAGCAATCCATGCAGTACAGACAAATCTGTATCCAGAGTAAATGTCTATTTCAATAAGACTAAAATGATGCCCCTTCCATGATGGAAGTGATCCTATGTAACCAACCTGCTATGAGTTGGTTGATTACCCCAAGGAATGATCCTGTATCTTGGACTCAAGTTTGGTCTGTGCTGTTGGAAGATTGAGCACTCAGAAGTGAGCCGTGGTGAGTGGAAATCCATGTTGCTGAGCCCAGGCATGACTTACATCTCTGCCACAATGGCCACTTCTTTTCATCCTTTTAATGACCTTTTACTTTCTTCATGTATGATGTTCTTGATGTCAGCTTGTTCTTCTCACAGCCCGCGCTTAGTCTAGAAGATATGCTGAACCTGTTTACTTCGGGTACCTCTGCTAACATTTGGTCCAGTTGTGAGGTTTGAGGTTTTCTTTACTCTGAGTTGTAATTCTTCATCTTCATTAGCAAGTCCTTCAAGTCCTTCTCACATTCAGTAAGATTGTGTCATCTGTATATAGCAGGCTCTTAATAAAAGTCAGATTCTCTGATTATTTGCTCAGTATACATATTAAATAAGTATAGTGAGAGGATACAACTCTGAAACCCACCTTTCCTGATTCTGAACCAAGTATATTCTCTTGTTCCATTCACATAATTGCTTCTTGATCCATGTACAGGCTCTACATGAGCACAATGAAGTGAAACACACAGTTGAATGCCTTTGTATAGTCAATGAAACACAGGTAAATATCTTTCTGGTATTCTCTGCTTTCAGCCAAGATCCACCTCACATCAGCAATGATATCGCTTGTTTCATGTCCTCTTTTGAATCCAGCCTGAACCTCAGGATGATCCCTGTTAATGTATTTCTGTGACTATTGTTGGATGATGTTCAACAAAATTTCACTTGCATGTGATATTAATGATATTGTTCTATAATTTGAGTATTCTGTTGGGCCACCGTTCTTTGGAATGGATACAAATATGGATACGTTCTAGTCAATTGGCCAGCTAGCTGTCTTCCAAATGTCCTGGTATAGACAATGAGTGCTTCCAGTTCTTCATCAGCTTGTCGAAACATTTCAATTCCTAGAGTCATGCTCTTAGCTTAGGCTTTCATTGAAGCTTGGACTTCTTTATTCAGTACCATTGGTTCTTGATTAGATGCTACATCCTGAGATTGTTGCATGTTGACCAGTTCTTTTTGGTACAGTGACTCTGTGTATTCTTTCCATCTTCTTTTGACGCTTCTTGCATCAGTCAATAGTTTGCACATAGAATCTTTCAATATTGCAATTCAAGCCTTGATTTTTTTCTTTTTTCAGTCTAAGATAGGCTGAGCATGTTCTTTTGGTTTCTCTAACTCTAAGTCTTTGAACATTTCATTATTATGGTCTGTCTTCTCAAGCTGTTCATTAAAATTTTCTGTTAAGCTCTGTTTCATCATTTATTCCATGTGCCTTAGCTACTCTACAATTAAGAGCAAGATTCAGAGTCTCTTCTAACATCCACTTTTATCTTTTCTTTCTTTCTTCTTCTTTTAATAACATTTTACTTTTTTCATGTATAATGTTCTTGATGTCAGCCTATTCCTTCATCATAGTCTATTCTTAATCTGGAAGCTTTGCTGTACCTCTTTACTATGGATGCCTCTGTTGCATTTGAAATATTGGTGACATAGCTTCTAGCATCACAGCAACACACAAGCCACCACAGTACAACCAACTAATAGACAAGTAAGTGGTGGTCCCAGTATACTAAACCACATTATTTTCTGATCCAAAATAGCCAATACCATCCATTTCAGCTCACTAATCCCTAGAATATTGATCTGTATGCTTTCCATTTTCTTTTTATGACCTCCAATTTTCATATTTATACTTACACATTCCAGTTTCAATTATTAATTGATGTTTGAAATTGTTTCTTCTCATTGTGAGTTGCAAATCAGCAAATGAAAGGCTCATAGGCTTTACTCCTACAAGTTTTACATCTGAGTCATGATTGATTCAATTCTGAGAACGCAGCATTTTCTGTCATATTTTGAGTGCCTTCCAACTTGAGGGCCTCATCTTCTGGCACACTGACCAAGAGTTTTATTTATTCTCGAAGTTTTTAGCATCTAACGATGTTTCAATGCTATCCATAGGTTTCCTGTGGTTAATTCCTCTGAAGTCTACAGATATTCCTCCTCATAGTCTGTTCTTTATCTGAAAACTGCTGAAACCTGTTCACTTTGACCCTGCTGGCATTTGAAATGTCACTGACATAGACTTGAGCATTA